GGTCATGATCTTCCCTAAGGTTGTACATGCCTCCACTAGATGTGTGAGGTTGAGTTTTACTCGGTGCCTCATATGTACCCGCGGTGTCCCAATTTTGAGCATTTTCAGCTAACAAGTCTAAGTACTTCATTGCTTCATCAGGGTCTTTATCTTCAAAAGTTCCATTGCACATCAATTCAACCATTTGCCTATCTTTAGGTGTTAACCCTTCATAGAAATGTGAAACCAATCTCCATGTTTCAAAACCATGATGAGGGCAAGTACTAAGCAAGTCTCGATACCTATCCCAACATTTGTAAAATGTTTCTCCTGGTTTTTGAGTGAAAGTGGTGATTTGTCTCTTGAAAGAGTTTGTTCTATGAGATGGGAAAAACTTCTTTAAAAATTGTTGTTGCATTTCATCCCAAGCACGAATGGATCCTGGTCTTAAATTTTGTAGCCATGTTTTAGCTTTATCTTTTAATGAAAAAGGAAAAAGCTTTAATCTGATGGTGTTCATGCTACAATTTAAATTATTATATGTGTTGCAGACCTCCTCAAATTCTCTTAAATGCAAGTATGGATTTTCCAATTCTAAGCCATGAAAAGAAGGTAAAAGTTGAATAATACCTGGTTTAAAATTAAAATGAGATGCATCAGGAGGAAAAACTATGCATGATGGTGCACTTGTTCTTGTGGGATTCATGTGGTCTCTAAGTGTTCTAGCACGGTTATTCTCATTATTCTCATTTTGAAGTGATTGATTATCTTCTTCGGCCATATTTTCTGAAAATGATGAGGATACCCTACAAAGTCTACCACTTGATGTACGTGACCACACTCTCATGCACGTGTAGGAATAAAATAAAAAAGAAGAAGAAAGCAAAAGAAGGAGGAAGAAAATAAAATAAAAAGAAATAAAAGAAAAGAAACAAAGTTATATACAAGAAAAGTGAAAAGAGAAAATAAAATAAATACTATAATTTATACAAGAACTTACCTCCCCGGCAACGGCGCCAAAAACTTGACACGACTAAAAGATTGATGTCTTCTTCCAAGTGCAGGAGTGTCGAAGTAATAAATAACCCGGCAAGACCGGGGTCGAACCATAGGGAGGTTAATTGTACAAATTATAAACAACAATTATAAAACAACAATAACAACAACAACAATAGTAGTAATAATAATAATAATATTATAAAGAACAACAATAGTAACAACAACAACAGCAATAATAATAGTAACAATAATAATACTAATAATACTACTAGTAGTAGTAGTAATAGTAGTAGTAGTAGTAGTAATAATAATAATAATAATAATAATAATAACAACAACAACAACAATAATAAAGAAAAAGAAAAAGAAGAAGAAGAAGAAAAGTTGATGAGAACTTTGAGATGGAAAATTAACGTAAGGATTAAATAATGATAACAAACAATGTCAAGGTTGGAGGATCCACTAATGGTATGTCAAACAAGTATAGTATAAACTCTTATTATTCAATTGGAAACCACACACAAAAGGGGTTCCAATCAGATTATAGATTGTTAACATGATTACATTAGTCATCTTATTTAATTAATGCTAATACATGTAAATTTCGTCAATCATTCATGATTATAACTTATGTTAACAACAAATCAAGTTCTTTTCATAGCTCAGGTGTCGGTTATACCATATAGTATGGGCTATGAGAGTACCAAGCATTTATTGTACGAAGTGTTATACAACATAAATCAAGATTAGTCATTTAACAAGCAAAGTATTAAAGAGAGAACAAGATAACAAATACAAAACATGTTAGTATCAAACATTAAAGTTCATATTAAGTTTACACTATACTTATTCTTACACCATTAGTGTAACCTTTTCACCTTGACATAATAAACTTAGCTAGACATAATGAAAGAATAAGATAAAAGTTAACTAAGTAAATGAAAGGAAATGAAAGGCATAAACTTGATATTAATAAATTAAGTAAAGGAAAGGAAATGAAAGGCATAAACTTAAAAGCAAAGCATAAACATTACAAAAAATACAAAGAGAGAAAGGAAGAGCATGATCTTGATCTGGAAACCAAGATGCCTAAATGCATGGCAAATGCCTCCTTTTATAGGCCAAAATTGGGAACTATTGATTTGATGACTAATTGATGAGTGCGTGACCAACTCTTGACTTGGTGACAATCCTTATCTTCTCTTGTCTACCCAAAACGTCATTGATAACGTCAGAATTGGAGCTAGTTGAAAACATGAAAGTTGTAGGAAATTGTCTTAGATTTCTTGTGTAAAACATTCAGCTCATTTCAACTTCTATAACTCCAAATATGGCCAAAATACTAAACAGTGCTCGGGCTGGAGGACAGATTCGGGCTTCTTTGTTGTTGCTACAATTTGGACTTGAAAATGGCCTTTTTAGATCTTGGGCTCATATGAAAGTTGTAGGTCTATGTCTTACCTTTCCATCCATATAAAGTAGACCTAAATCTGAGATCTATAGCTCTAGATATGACCCAATTACCGAATAGTGTTCTGGTTTGGATTGCACTGACATCTTTTTTCTAAGTTTGGCCATCTCTTTATCCTTTCAATTTCAGTTCTTAAATTCATCAATCAATCCTTTCATTTATGTGATAGGCCTCCATTTAAAATGAACATTTACCATAAATTAAAGGTATCTTATATTATTAGATATATTATTATAAAGCATCCTTTAGTTAAGGAGTTATTGATACTTCAAGTGCAAAATGATGATATAAAACCTTGATAAAAATGCATTTTTAAGTACTAATTAGTCGTGTCAAAAGTCCTTATTAAGTTTACATTATACTTATTCTTTCTCCATTAGTGTGACTTTTTCACCATAACATAATAAACTTAACTAAACATAATGAAAGAGAGAAATATAAATAAACAAGATAAGAACATAAATAAGATATATGTTAACTAAGTAGAGGAAAGGGAATGAAAAGCATAAATAAGATATTAATATAACATTAAATAAAACTTGAACATTACAAAATACAAAGAAAGAGAGTAAAAGCAAGATCTTAATCTTAACAACCAAGATTCCTAAATACATGGCAAATACCTTCTTTTATAGGCCAAAATTCAGAACTATTGATTTAATGACTAATTATTGAGTGGATGACCACCTCTTAACTTGGTAACAATCCTTATTTTTTTTCTACAAAAAACATTATTGCTAACATCATAATTTGAACAGACAGTCTTCATGAAAATTCTAGAAAAATGTCTCAGCTTTCCAACAAAATAAGAATGAGGTCATTTGAACTTCTGGAACTCAAGATATGGGTTAAACACTAAACAATGTCTAGGCTGCAGAATATATACCAACTTCTCTGTTCTTGCTACAATTTAAACTTGAAAATAGTCCTTTTTTTATCTCGTACTCTTATAAAAGTTTTAGGCCTATGTCTTAGCTTTTTATCCATATAAACCATACCTAAATCTAAGTTCTAAAGCTCTAGTTATGATCCAATAACTGAATGATGTTCTAATTTGAATTCAACCAGCACTTTTTTTTAAGCTTAACCATCTTTTTGTCTTCTCAATTTTAGTAGTTAAACTCATCAATCAATCCATTGATTTATATGATAGGCTTGCATTTAAAATAAACATTTACCATAAATTAAAAGTATCTTATATTATCAAACTTGTTATTATAAAACATGCTCTAGTTAAGGAGTTATTGATACTTCAAGTGCAAAATAATAATATAAAACCTTTTATAGGCTAAAATTGGAAACTATTGATTTGATGACTAATTGATGAGTGGGTGGCCAACTCTTGACTTGTTGACAATCTTTACCTTCTCTTGTCTGCCCAAAATGTTATTGATAACATCATAATTTGAACAAACCTCATATGAAAGTTATAGAAAATTGTCTCAGCTTTCCAGGAAAAAAAAATGGATGTCATTTGGACTTGTAGAACTCTAGATATGGGCTGAACACTATATAGTGTATGGGCTGATAGATTCAGACTTCTTTGTTGTTGCTACAATTTGAACTTGAAAACGACTTTATTAAAACTAGACCTCCACATGAATGTTGTAGGCCTATATCTTACCTTTCCATCCATATAAACATTACAAGATTTCACAGTTTTACCAACGGAAATATTCCGTTGGTGTGTGATTAAAAGGTCATCCATGATTTTTTTATCGACGCAATCATCGACGGATTACATCCGTCGGGTTACCTTTCATCAGTGATTCAACATTTTGTCATTAAATTGGTCGGAAAAACAAAAAAACCATTTGGCGATGGTTTTACAGACGGAATTTGCGCGCAAAAAAAAAGATTCCCGCTTGAATATACCAACGGATTTGTATTATATCAGTGATATCGTGATTTACCGATGGACACTAACCTTCAGTAGGGCTGTCGATGGGTGTATGAAATACCGACCGAATACACCCGTCTGTAAATTCGTCGGTAAATGTGGCAGCTACTATCAAATTTCGACGGAGTTTCTCCGTCAGTAAGTCGGTCAGTGAGTGTATGAAATACCGACCGAATATATCCATCTGTACATTAGTCGGTAAGTGTGGCAGCCACTGTTAAATGCCGACGGAGTAATTCCATCGGCAATGCGGTCGGTGAGTGTATGAAATCATTGGTAATTTTTTTTTCTAAATTTGTTTTTGAAAAATGATTTAAGATATATAATATAAAACTGTGTAAATTAATTGTAATACAAATCAATTATGCAAATAAAATTTATATTCAAGCAAAAAAAAACAAAGTTAAATAATATTCATTACAAACTGAATATGTTTCAAAAAAAATATTAAATGAAGTTTTAATGTTAAATAATGTTTATTACAAATTAATATAAAGGTGGAGCTAGAGGAGGAGGAGGAGGAGATCCTAGAGGAGGCTGGTGGTTATACGGCCAAAAAGGATTAGGCGCACATGTTCCACTATTTGCCATGTTCATAACCATTTCACGGAGCTGTTCGTAAGCCGTTTTTTGTTGTTCATACTTCGCTTTTTATTGCTCATACTCCACTTTTTGTCTAACATACTCCGCTTTTTGTTGCTCTTGAGACGCTTTGAGGTGCACGTACTCCTCTAATAGGTGGTTGTATTTCTCGGTGAGTTGAGCCGTGTGTTGTTGCAAGGCCTCGAATTCCTTAGATTTGGAGTTCGATATTGATTGGGAGCTCCCAACGGTTGAAACACTACGGGTTGACTGCAAGTTGTCTGCCGTAGCATTGGAGAGCCCGTAAACCCGATTTTTATTGGGTCCACTTGAGGAGCCAGCCTCCATCCACAAATCTGGATCAAATTCCGGATGGTTCAAAATATCGTCTCCATATCTCTCCCTCAACCGATTATTATAGGTCTCCTGAAAATAAAATAAAATAAAAAATAAGTTATCATCATATTCAATTCAATAAACATAATAACTTACATAATAACTTACAAAATGAAATGGTTGAACAAACATACCACAAAATGTTGAGCACGATTATCAACGAATTGTTGCACCCCCTTCTGGCTATTTTGACTCTGCACGTGCGTCTCCACAAACAACTCCATCGGGCTCGACTCATGTCCAAGAGACGCAGCCTATAATGAAAAAAAGATATATTAACAACAACTGAATTTAATGATATATTTCATTTAAATTAATCTTACTATCCATTTCGCATGTGCAGCAAATGGAATGGAGCCGCCAGTGTGCGTTGTCACCCCGCCATGAATTGGCCGATACCGGTTGCCAGCACCGGACCGTGAGCGGCGTGGGAACCGCTCAGACGTCACGTGCTCAATATAGTGTGGCCATATATCTTCCGGGATGTATATCGGTTTGAAATCCCTCCAAACCGCAACATCGTTCCAGCCTTGTAAACCCCTATCCCTCGCGGCTTTTTTTGCCTTTCTTTGTGCTTCATACCAAAAATCACGCAACCTACGTCACGCAACAAAAAATTACATTTCGAAACATAATTTTTTATCTAAAAAAAATCTTGTATTGTTTTTTATCTTACCTAGTTGCCGCGTGATTTTCCCACACCCTTCTCACAACAGTGTTATACTCACTGTCCCAGCAGAATTTGTACTGTGTATAAATGAACAAGTTTAGATAAAAATAATAATTTATTTATAATTAAATTAATAAGCTGAAAATTATAAATTAATACCAACCTCAAACCTGTTAAACCATGCATTGATTTGAAGCATTCATTCAGGATGCTTTGATATCTGACTCCACTGAAACAATGGAATCTCCATCGACGATTTAAACGCCGATGATATTACTCGGGCGGCTTCAATATTTGTGAACCTGAAAATAAATGAAATAAATTCAATAATGATTATTTCATAAATTATGTTGTAATATAAAAAAAAAAACTAAAACCTAAACAAACTTACATTGAAAGGTCATCCTTCCATTGTGCCTCGTACTGGCAGGTAAATTAATTCTACTGCAAAGGCATGCCACTTCTACACTGTGAAGTAGCGCTAGAAGAGGTAGCATCGGTAGACGGTGCAGGTGGTGTAGGTGCCTCTGCTTCAAAGGCACCTAAGGAGATATCCTCATCGCTACTAAACGAACTAGCTACGACTTTACGTGAGCGACTAGCTCTGGTTTTCAATCTATGCATCTACACAATTTTATACAAATAATTATATAATTAAATTCAAATGTTAAAAAAAAATTCGACAGCACCTCCCCTATACTGGATACTACCCAAATCCACAAACCTACACATATTAACAATAGCCACAACCAATTTACCCAATCTAAACTAATTATTCCAACATATTTAATTCCTAATCCTAAGGTAAATTCAACATTAAAAATTACAATTCCATAAATTATTCAATAATTATGCCAACACAACAAAACAATAAATTAAAAAAAACTCTATAATAACAATCAAAATAAATCAAAAAAATTAAACCCAAATCATGCAATAATAAAGTAAAATTAATAATTATTCCAACATACTCAATTACTAATCCTAAGATAAATTCAACGTTAACAATAAATATTCAACAAATTAACTAATAATAATTATGTCAAAACAATAAAAAATATTGAATAAATTCAAAAAAAAAAACTATAGACTTTAGCAATGAATTATGCAAACAAAAACTACGGATTTTATCTACATTACAAAAAATACACCAAAACAAAAAACATAACAACAAAATAGCAAAAAAAAACCATTAAAGTAAAATGAAAAAGAAGAAACACTAACCTTTTCAATTGATGGAGATTCACCACAAAAAAAGCTTGATATCGCCGGTGAAGAAGGGAGATCAGAACGGGGAGGAAAAGAAAGGTGAAGAAGTTTAGAGGAGAGAAAATGAATTGAAGAGGCGGACGGGGGCACTTATATGGCAGTTTTACCAACGGACTCACCAACGGTCATATGCTAGTTTTACTGACGGACTAACCAACGGATATAAAATTAATTATTATTTTTAATTTATTCCGTTGGTAAGGTGTAAAAATCCGTCAGTAAATTTTGAATTTCGCACCAAAATTTTTAATGTCCCTCCATATTTTTCACGGTCCGTTGGTAAATCCGTCGGCAATATGACGCGGTCAGAGATGCATTTAATGCACAACGTTTTGAAATGCGCGTGGTCTGTCGGTAAGTTTGTCGCTAAAATTGACCTGTCAGCACATTTCTAACGGACTCAATTCCGTCACTCCTACCGTCGGTGATGGGGTGGCATTTCCAATAATTATTTTCAAACTCTCTGTGAAATGTCGATGGCCTTGTGTCCGTCGCGCCTGTCATCGGTGATGGGGTGGCATTTCCAGTAATTATTTTCTAACTCTCTATGAAATACCGACGGCCTTGTGTCCGTCGCGCCTGTCGTCGGTGATGGGGTGGCATTTCCAGTAATTATTTTCTAACTCTCTAGGAAATACCGACGGCCTTGTGTCCGTCGCGCCTGTCGTCGGTGATGGGGTGGCATTTCCAGTAATTATTTTTTAACTCTCTGTGAAATGTCGACGGCCTTGTGGTCGTCGGTGTTGCCGTCGGTGATTGGATGGCATTTCCAGTAATTATTTTTGAACTCTCTGTGAAATGTCGACGGCCTTGTTTCCGTCGCTCCTGCCGTCGGTGATGGGGTGGCATTTCCAGTAATTATTTTCGAACTCTCTATGAAATGCCAACGGCCTTGTGTCTGTCGCGCCTGTTGTCGGTGATGGGGTGGCATTTCCAGTAATTATTTTTGAACACTCTGTGAAATGTCAACGACCTTGTGTCCGTCGCGCCTGTCGTCGGTGATGGGGTGGCATTTCCAGTAATTATTTTTAAACACTCTGTGAAATGTCAACGACCTTGTGTCCGTCGCGCCTGTCGTCGGTGATGGGGTGGCATTTCCAGTAATTATTTTTGAACTCTCTGTGAAATGTCGACTGCTTTGTGGCCGTCGATGTTGCCGTCGGTGATTGGGTGGCATTTCCAATAATTATTTTTGAACTCTCTATGAAATGCTGACGACCTTGTTTCTGTCACTCCTACCGTTAGTGATGGGGTGGCATTTCCAGTAATTATTTTCAAACTCTCTGTGAAATTCCAACGGCCTTGTGGCCGTCGGTGTTGCCATCGGTGATTGGGTGGCATTTCTAGTAATTATTTCATGTTACAAAATATATCATTCATGATCAATAATTATTTCATAATTGTGACATTTCAACTAATTATTTCAAGTAATAAATATTTTGTGTTTCAAAATATATCATCCATAATCTAAATTACATGACAAAAAGGGTTTTACATAGGGTTTCATTTTGGTAGTTAGTCAGAATTTTCTTCTTCATCGTCATCAATTGAATTATCATCACCTTCATCGCAATCTTCAATATGAATATCATCTTCTTCATCGACAGTTGCTTGTCCGCTAGAGTTTAAAACAAAATTCAACTCCTCTACGTCAACATCAACAAGATTATCATCAAAAACACGAAAATTTGAATTTTCTTCCAATTCAATCGAAGGAGCAACTCGATATGGTTCAACCACCTCACTAACTTGAAAGACTTCATCTCGCACACTTGTGTCTTCGTTCTCATCCTAAACAACCTCGACATGACCCCGGGGTTTCATTTTTAAAACGGACAATCAATCCACTCTTGATCGATCTTTCTAAATGAACGGGTGTATGTGTAATAAACTTGTTGACATTGCTTTGCGAGAATAAAGACATTGTTTATGTTGCGGAGTCTAGCTTTTGAGTTGATTTCGACCAGACCATAGTGCGGATCAACTCTGATTCCTCTGTCAGTCGTGTCATACCAATAGCATTTGAATAAAAACACTCTATTCTGCTCGTTATGATATTGCAGTTCGACGACCTCTTCTAATCTACCACAGTAGTTAACTTCTAACTCACTACTAGTGGATCCCTTAACACAAACACCGCTGTTGTATGTCTTTCTTCCTTACTCGTATTCTTCAGTATGGAAAACATATCCATTGACAAAATACCCGTTGTAGCACTTACATTTTCTTTCAGGCCCTAGGCTTACTGAAGACAATGACGTAGGTGCACTCCTTCCTATTTGATAAACCTTGTATGTAATGTACATCAATAAATAGTAAATGAATGAGAATCTCGTAATGACGTGCATACGTACAGTAATTTTGCAATTTAGAATGAGTTTGTGATAGTGCTTACATGTGTTCTAAACCACGTGGCAAATTGCTCATCTTGTAATTGAAAGATCTAGGATTCGGTCAACTGTGAGTTATTGGAGAGCAAATATTGTCAATGTTGCCTGCAAGTGATAATAAGTGTATGATATTACAATATATAATTAACAGTATATTACTAACAAAGTTTAATTAGTATAAACTTACTGAATAAAAGGTCTCAGCTCATCACAGTTAAATAGAACATAGTTGTGTGCTTGTTTGAACTCTATTTCCGACAAATATCTTCCTCTTACGGCATTTTTAGGTATGGGTCATCCAGTATTGGAGAATATTGACAAGTTCCCACTGGAAGGCACTTCACCGCCATCATCATGCCGGGGAATGCCATTGATTCTCGTTCTCAGATGAGGTTCGAAATAGTACAGATAAATGTTAAGATCTCCTCAACAATATAGGCCTCACATATTGAAGCCTCAACATGCGCCTTGTTCTTAACCTTTTTCTTGAGATTAAACAAGTACCTGCATTGAAATATTAATCAAGTATTTTCAATTAAGAAAAACATATAAAATACTTTTATATATGAATTACATTACAACTGTAATATCTAACCGTTCAAATGGGTACATCCATCTATATTGGACCGGTCCTCTAGCTTTTGCCTCGAATGGTAGATGTATAGGGAGATGCTCCATTGAGTCAAAAAATGATGGAGGGAATATCATCTCAAGTTTGCATAGTGTTTCGACGATATTCGTTTGAAGCCTCTTAATGTGATCAACATTCAACTTGCTGGAGCATATATCTCTGAAGAAATGACTGGTCTTCGTGAGTGCATCCCATATCCCTTTGGCAACAAATCACGAAAAACTAATGGGATGAGTGTTTGCATAAACACATGGCAGTCATGACTCTTCATTCCATACAATTTGCAGTCCTTTACATTAACAAGTCATGATATCTTCGATGCATGTCCATTAGGAAAACGCAGACTCTTAAACCATTTGTAGACTAGCAGTTGTGCATTTTTCTCTAACACGAAGCTTGCTCTTGGTTTTGTGCTTGACCGCTTTTTATGATCGACTTGTTTTAACTCGCAAGTGCACGAGTGTGCGATGTAGCAATTAACTCGGTAAGATCGAGGTCATATCCACAGAGAGCTAGATCTGGAAATTAAGCTAAGTAACAAAAAAAACTCAAGAGAAATTATTTTAACAATAACTTGGTTGAAAATAATTGATGGATTTGTTTTTAAAGATAAAAAAAATGTAAATAGATTTTAAATGACAAGAAAAAGTAAGTCTTGGTCCAAATCAATTTTAATGGTGATGTATTGGTGATTTCTTCAACATATATAAGATAACTCAACCTAATATCAACGATGGTGATATTAGATCTGAAGATATTACAATGAAGATTAGAAAGATGAAGATTGATTATTGCTTAAGAATGAACAAGTACTTTCATATTAAGTAAGACATTGAATCAAGCAATCTCTATACCAAAACTAAAGTTTGTGCATAAAAATTCAAGATTATAACATTACCTAAATGATTTCTAAAATAAATCATTCATGAAGAAAATAAGAAGATAAACATTAAGATTCATTCATATCCTAAAGAACTCACCTCAATCACCATTATCCTTGATTTGGATCTAAGAAAGAGTTTAGCCAACCATGATTATATATAAGAACACTTCAATAAACATGAAAGAACTTGAATCCAACTGAAATAATAAGTTTTACAAACTAAAGAACCGAAATCTATAAAGAAGAACACAATACAATTTCAGAAAAAATTCGGACACAAATCTGACTCTAA